TACTATTTTATTTCTCTCCATTGTTTTATTTCATTCATTAAAACTCAGCTGCATTTCCAACTGCTTCTTAAATGGGATCATTTTCCTTTCTAATGCAAGTAATCAGTACTATTTGGTAGAAAGTGGGCTCTTAAAAAAAATTATAAAAATTTTCAAACAGATAATTTAAAATAGAATGAACACCTTTAAAATTATTAGCTAGATTCAACATTGTTAACATTTTGTCATACCTGTTTTACTCATCTACTTACCGATATATTGCTTAACTAACTTAAAATAAATTACATATAACATTTTTCCCTGAAACATTTCAGCATACAAAACCAAAAAAATAAAGACAATCTTCTCCATAAATAGGGTATTATCATAGCTAACATTATCAATAATTCCCTATATCATGTTATAAATATTTGAATTTCCCCAATTTTTCTCCAAAATCTTTTCAGCTGGTTTTTTCCAACCAGACTGCCAAGGACCACCCATTGCAGTTGGTTCTGTCTAGAGCAGTCGCCACTTTCATTTTTTTTCTGCTTCCATGATACTTTTTGAAGAAACCAGATCAATTGTCCTGTATGACATAGCCAAAAGACAAGAAATAACAAGTGTTGGAATGGATGTGGAGAGAAGGAAATCCTCATGCACTGGTGGTAGGAATGTAAACTGATGCAGCCGCTATGGAAAACAGTATGGAGGTTCCTCAAAATAATAATAAATAAATACTGCACAACTCAGGAATACCGTATTTTAAAAAGGAAGGAAATTCCTTTTAATGCTGAACATTCCATTGTATGTATATGCCACATTTTGCTTATCCATTCATCTGTTGATGAACATTTGAGTAGCTTCCACATTTTATCTATAGTGAATAATGCTTATATGGATTTTCAGACTTTGCTTTCAAAATTTTTTTGCATATACACCCAGAAGTGCATTTTTAATTTTTTGAAGAACTACCAGTTTTCCACTGCAAATATACCATTTTACATTCTCATCAACAGTACATAAGGGTTCCAATTTCTCAACCAGAATCATGAATTTTTACATATTGAAAATGTTTCAAATAACTAGTCCTTATTGTTTTTGATACTTAGAAACAGTCCCCTTCAAGTAGCTTCCTGTTTTGCCCCCATTAGTTTTTTAATGCTACCTTGCTATTACATGACTATTAGGTAGTAATTACTAATTAAGTAATTTCAGTAAGAAACACTGATGAATACAAAAATTGGTAGATTAAAGGGGGATGAAGGACAGGACATTTACATGGTCTTGGAGAATCACCCCACAGAATATTTAGTATATAATGGTAGGAAAATGTAACTTTACAATGGAGAAACCTGGCAACCATCATGAATCAAAGCTTAAAGTTTACACCATCGGAAATTGAACTAATTGACACTATTTGCCCCTCAAAGAGATGCACTGGGAGGAACAGCATTACTCCTGAGATATACCTGCCAGAAATGCATACCCTGGGTCTCTGGGGAGACTATCAAACAAATCCAAATTGAAGAACATTCTACAAAGGCTATTCTGCAATCTTCAGAAATGCCAGGGTCATGAAGGTCAAGGGGAGACTAAAGAACTCCTCCAAATTGAAGGTGACTGGAGAAACACAACAACAGGCTACAGCAGATAATCCAGGACTAGATGCTCTTGCTGTGGACATGGTTGGGGCAACTGACAAAACTTGAGCAGGGTCTGAGCGAGGGTGGGAGCTCTTTCTGATATTCTTGTAACTTGTCTTCAGTGAGTCTGAACTTATTAAAAAATAAAATTTGAAAAATAAAATGCCCCAACCACAGACCTTTGTTTTGGTTTACAATAATTTCATTGAGATTTTACAACTATGCCATATTCTCTACACTAAGGGCCCACATTATTTTTCTTTACTGATCAGAACCAACCACACCTCTGTGGGTAAAGCTACAATTCTGGGCCCTGAAATCTAAAGAATGGTTAAAGTTTGTGCAATCACCAAACCAACCTTCAAGAATGAAACTGAGATTACATTTCTAGGAAGTGACCCCAAGCCTACGGACAAGCCATGGAATCCCAGGCTGCCCCTCCACAGGTCCTCCCTTGGTCCAGGCTGAAGTCTGGCATTTGGGCAGCAGACGTTATCACTTCCTACTGAGGCCTGTCACTAACAATTTAAACTAGAACTCCAATAATACTCCACAGCACACAGAACTTAGCCGCTTTACAGTTTAAATGCAGCATATACTGTTCCATCCACTAACATATGAAAGATCTATATACAGATTCCCATCTCTAATCAAATCCTTGCTTCAGTCATGCCTGCTTTAAGAAGCTATACCTGCAGCAGCCTGCACTCCAAGGCAGTGGGTCTCAGGCTTTGGTGAGGATCAGAATTACCTGGGAAACTTGGTACAAATGCAAAGGCCCAGGACCCTACCCTAATTTCAACTGTGTTCTTTATTAGCTTTTCCAGTGATTCCGATACCAGTTTTCAAACCAAAGTTTGAGAAAAGAAAACCCAGACCTACAGTGCAGGCATAGCTTCTGCCTCTCCTGTTCTCATTTTCACTGAGGCTTCACCTTTTGCTTTAGGGCCCAGCACATGCAGCCCAGCCCCTCAGAAACCACCTGTATAAAAAAAAGGACACTTAGCAGCAACCTGCCAAACTGAAGATCCTATATGGTTAGCACATAATACAATATCATTTCAGCCTAGAACCACTCATTTTACCCTGCTGGACTCTTTAGTCAGCATTTTCTCTCCAATCCTTATTTATTGTCTAGAACCAACGTTTCTCACCCAAGCACCAAATATTATGGGATTTTAGAGGGTCCAATAAACAGCACCCCTACTGTTTAGAACAGTGGTTCTCCACTAGGAGTGTTACTTTGCCAGGATACCTGGCAATATCTGGAGCTATTTTTGTTATCAGTTGGGGGAAGCAGGAAGGAAGAAGGATGCCATTGGCATCTAACAGGTGGAGGCCCAGGATGATGATGAACACCCTATGATGCACAGAATGCCCACACAACTGAGAATTTTCCAGACAAAAATGTCAACAGTGCCAGTGTTAAGTGACCCTTATTTAGAATAGCACCCATTCTAAAATTGCAGTGTAAGACAAAAGTGTAAGAAGATAGGAGACACACCATTTTTATGACTTTAAAGACTAGATTAAGAGACCTTGTTTATCTGAAGGCAAGTGAATTTCCTATTACTGAACCCCAGAAGGAGATTATCCCCCTAGCAGGTGAGGTAACTGTATGCCTCCGTAAGTGAGGTGAGGCTCCTCTAGAACTCCTAGCATGTTGGAGCTAACATATGCCACCTGCAAGCAAATTCCCAGGAGGAAAAAAATACCCACAGAATAGCAACTAAAAAGGTAGAAAGAGCACAGTATTACATTTAACCTCCCTCCAAAGGTATGGCAATAACAGGGGGAAAGCATTCCCTCCCAACATGATTCAAAAGCACTGGGCAGGGGAGGTGTGGGCAGCAGGCTCCTACTAGCTCCTGAGAACCAACAGGTTGAATCTTCGGAACGTTTGCAAGCTAGCTGTTAAACCCTTGGCAGCTTGAAATCAGCCACAGTAGGAATATTTATACCATGAAAGCAAAAAAACACCATAAATCAGTGGCTTAGTTTTTTAGAAAATAAAGTTGGATCCTACTTTTACATGGAAACACTAAAACTGAAGATGGATTCAGGATTTAAATGAAACAAAGAAAACATAAAATACCAAAAAATGTACAATCAGAGCAAAGGTCTTTCTAAGCCATGTGTACCAATGACAAAAACCATAAATAACGAGATCAACATATAACTACATAAAAACACATTATTTATGTCAAAAAATTTCCACTAACAGGCAAACTACACACTAGGGAAATTATCTGCAAAATACATGACTAACAATAACCTATTAATAATCCTTACACATTAGTTAAGAAAAAGACAAGCACTAAATGGGAAAAAACTCACTTAAGTATTTCACAAGATATAAATGAGTTCAAAATTAATAAACTTAAACATACCAGGTTTGCCTATCACAGTGGCATAGAGGAGAAGGTAGAACATAGCCAATATGGTTAAATATGTAGAGTATTAGGAAAAACTTTTGGCAAAAGAACAGGTTGGCACAGAGAAGGCAGTTTAACACAGAGAAGACAAGTAGTGATTCTATAGCATCTTACTATGCTGATGGACAGTGACTGTAATAGGGTACGTGGTGGGGAATTGATAATGGGGGAGTCTAGTCACCATAATGTTGCTCATGTAATTGTATATTAATGATACCAAAATAATAAAAAATTTAAAAAATTAAAAAATAAAAGAACAGGTTGGTACAAACCTTTTGTTGGCAACATGGTTATACCCTTTAACCTTCCACATTTACTACTCTAAGAAAAATGAAGTGTAAAAAGATTCAGTTAGACTATTGTGGCCAATAATAATAGGCTAAAGAAGTTATTGTAACTCCATTTAGTGAAATACTATGCATACTCTCATGTTGCTGAATTATTTGACATTGGAAAGATGTTCACCACTTAAATTCAAAAACAGTATTAAATAGAGGCTGCAAGACAGAATATTCGGGATGAGCAAGTTGTGTAAACATAAAATGTGTACTGAAAGTATACCAATAAAGTCTAAAAGGATATACAGAAAAGAGTGAAGAATATTTCCCTTTTTACTTACCTGCATTTCTACAGTGGGTATATGTTACCTGCATATTTCGCTGGTTTGTTTTTAATAGGAGTTAATGGAACTTGAGTTAAGCAGAAAAACCCTTATTTCAATATATCATTGTTTGAAGTGAATTTTGTAAATAATCATTTCAGGTTTTTTAAATATAACTGTTCAAAATCAAAGGTCATCACTTTGGAACAATTTTTGTTTAAGAATCAAATGGTTGTGCAAATGAAGCAAATAGGCATAAAATGACAGGAAAGCAAATGACAATCATTAACTACAATCTTTGTTCCACTGGCTATTATGTTATAATAAATAAAATGACAGTTAACCAAAAACACTTTTATTTTTGTCTTCAAAGAACAAACTGTTCTTTTTCTAAGATAATCATGATCAACTTACAAAAACGGGCATTTACAATGCATTTTCAAAGCATTTCCCTTTAACGGGAAACTTAGCTTTACAGAATCCAAATACTAAAAGGTTGGAAAAAATTTCTTGTCATTATAAAACAAAACATAATCTAGCATAAGAAAAGGAAATCCATTCATACTTCAGGTCCTTCTCCTCCAGGAACAAGCTGCATAGGAAGAAAAAGAGTTTATTAATAACACCATCACATCATCTAAAAACTCCTACTAGGAGCTCCTCATGAACCAAAGCCATTTTTCCCCGTTCCTCACATTCCCATTTTCTCCAGGTCATTGCTATCTACTTATAATTTCCAGCATCATCAATTAATACTTAGTGTGTCAACAATGATTCTTGACAAAATAAAAGACTAAAAAGCCCAAGCAAAATAATCTTTGGACCTAATGTTACCTTCAAGAGTTCAGTTTTGGGGCCCTGATCACCAGAGCATCCCTTTTCTATCTTAAGCACAACTGGGCCGTGAACATTTCGTTGAGCAAGTTAGTTCTAGTTAGTTCTGTGATCCCTGCCCCACAAATATGAGCTAACATCCAAGTAAAATAGCTTTATTGTGTCTTACCATTGTTATATTATTTCCATTAAGCAAAATCTGATCTAATTTAGTAATCCTTCTTCCTTCCGGTGTGATTTCACTAGATGAATAGATACAACAGAGTCAGGATAAATAATAATAATCAAAGCCATCATTCTGATCCCTAAACAAGATTATTCTTGTACATAAATCAATGTGAGGTTAGACAATTTTATCAGTTCTCAAACACAAGGGATATCCAATAGGTGACGTACATTCTTCCGGAACTGATTGACCTAAGACTCACATCCACTAGGACTTATCTCTATAAAAGCTGAAACTTGCCCACAAGATCAAATATGAAATCAAATGTTTACTCAATTTTTACAATTGCTTACAATTTTACAATTGCTTTCTATTAAATCAATCTATCAATCTGTACTCAATTCAATTTTGAAAGCAGAAATGCTGGTCATCATCATTATAACTAATACAATGGAGCCATCATTTACGTTTTGTTATACTGTTAAAACACTCTTATTATCAGTTACCTGATTTGACCTGAGCTCTAAGGTTCCTGGCTGTTTTTAGTATGTTCTACCTTAAATTGCTATCTCCACTAATTTCCTAGCAATTTAGTAATAATTACATTACAGTAGTATGGTAATAACCCTCTGATCCAATTTTACTGGTAGTAGTAGATAAAATTCCTTAAAGGTAATTCCAATGTTTTCTCATAAATCATTTTAGACACATTAATGCTAAATGTGTTAAGAAAACAAACTAACAGGTTGAATTTACTCTGGCTTCTGCCTTTGTTCAGGTTTAATTATAAAACTCAAAACAATGTCTCAAATTCATAATATTTGTAGTTGGTAGGAACTTTTTTTAGTACACACACCTCTTAAAATGCTATCACATGTTCCCTGAGAATAAACAAATTTTTATTATAATAATTAGTAAATACTGATTATCTATAGTTCTTCTGTTCTTAAATAACAGAAGAAAAACCCATACCATCACCACCTTTTAGAAGGATACTGACAAAGTCGTCAAATCCTAGAAGCGTGCCAACAATTTCCTTATCACTCTTCATCACAATGTGAATTCTCGATCCTATACATTTGTCCACAAGCTCTATGGATATATATTTTTTAAAGGAAAAAAAGTGGGGGAGAGGGAAAAGATTATTTTACCCATTCATTTACTTCAACAATTATTTGAGCGCCTACTAGCACTTGTTATTTGCATATGGTAAAAGATAAACTAAGAAGTATTCATTCAAAAAACTTTAGATCTTAAACATTTCTCTGTTCAATAATTAGCATAAGTTTCCCCTGTTCGCCACTTACCTATCTTTTGTAGAAATTTATGGTCTTTGTGGTTTTATATTTATCTGATTAACATATGAACTCCCCCTTTAAAATCTAAACTCCAAGAGAGCTGAGACCGTGGTTGTTTTTTGCACATTACTGTATCCCCAATGGACAGTCCCTGGCACACACTAGGAATTCAAAAAGAGTTTGTCAAATAAATGAAAGAATGAAAACTTTCAATCACTGACACATCAGCTAACTCACTCTTCAGCTACGAATTAATTAGGAAGAGAGGCATAATTGCCTTCATCAGAGATTCCTCCCTGTTAGTACCTCTGCTTTGACAGCAGCTTTAACATCTCTAGCCGGCTTAGCATTATTTGGTATGTTATTTGTCCAGTATTCTATGTACTTCACTGGTTTGTGTATTATTTTAAGGCAATGGCCGTGATTTAAATGTGAATACTGCCAAGCCACTTTGTCTGGTACACAGACGCTCAACAACTCTTTGGTTAAAGAAAGGCAAATGGAACTGGTTTCCAGATTCTTCTTTTAAGGCTCATTCTATACTCCAGTGCTTCTCTTAATAACCGGCCGGATACAGGACAGGGTGTAATCTGTAGAACTTAAAACAATGCCAAGTTGAAGACTGGGACTGCTACCCGTGAACGTGGTAGGCGAGCTCACAACAACGAAGGCCGACCACGCATTTATAAATTGTAGACCTTTTCCGTGACGACGTGGTTTGGGAAGTCACAAGTCTCTGCCTCAAGGAGCCTTACCACGCTGAAGAGACATGGGCGCCCCATGGCCGCAGAGACTTGGAGCCTGGAGACACGCAGCGGAAGGGGAAAGCAGCTGGCCGGTTACGCTTCCCTAACACTCGGCCAGGGGCTGCCTCGGCCGGAGCCCCTAAACCCCCAACCGTAAGCTTCAGCTCCCTCCCGCCCCGCTCCCCACAGGACGGGAGTTACCGAGAGGTAGTAGCTGCGACGGGTTTGTGGTCGCGTTAGCCGCCATGGCTACGCCGGAAGTGGCCTGCTTCCATGCACAGAGGGGCGGTGAGTTTGAAAGAGCGCGCTTCCGCTTTTTTCCGCAGCGCGGACAGGCTCGACCAATCTGAGGCCGAGTGTGCGATCGGTCCAGTCCACGTGGGTCGTGCCAAGTAATTTCCCGGGCACAGTGAACCCGGCAAAAGTAACAGGCCATTGAACATTCTGCGGGCCTGACAGATACCCACTTTCCCCTCAAAGTTGCTGGGAGACGTTAAAAATATCCCGCCTTGAGGAGCTGAACAGACACTTCTCCAAAGAAGAAATTCAAATGGCTAACAGGCACATGAAAAGATGCTCCACATCGCTAATTATCAGGGAAATGCAAATTAAAACCACAATGAGATATCACCTCACACCAGTTAGGATGGCCAACATCCAAACGACAAACAAATGTTGGCAAGGATGTGGAGAAACGGGAACCCTCCTACACTGCTGGTGGGAATGTAAATTAGTTCAACCATTGTGGAAAGCACTACGGAGGTTCCTCAAAAAACTAAAAAAAGAAATACCATTTGACCCAGGAATTCCATTCTTAGGAATTTACCCTAAAAATGCAGGAGCCCAGTTTGAAAAAGACATACGCACCCCTATGTTTATTGCAGCACTATTTGCAATAGCCAAGAAATGGAAGCAATCTAAGTGTCCATCAGTAGATGAATGGGTAAAGAAGATGTGGTACATACACATAATGGAATATTATCCAGCCATAAGAAGAAAATAAATCCTCCTATTTGCAAAAACATAGATGGAGCTGGAGGGTATTATGCTCAGTGAAAGAAGCCAGACTGAGGAAGACAAGTATCAAATGATTTCACTCATCTGCGGAGTGTGAGAACAAAGCAAAAACTGAAGGAATAAAACAGCAGCAGACTCACAGAACCCAAGAATGGACTAACAGTTACCAAAGGGAAAGGGACTGGGAAGAGTGGGTGGGAAGGGAGGGATAAGGGGAAAAACGGGGCATTACAATTAGCACACATAATGTAGGGGGGTGGGGAGACACGGGTAAGGCAGAACATACAGAGAAGACAAGTAATGATTCTATAGCATCTTACTACACTGATGGACAGTGACTGTAATGGGGTATGTGGGGGGGACTTGAAAATAGGGGGAGTCTAATAACCATAATGTTGTTCAAGTAACTGTACATTAACAAAACCAAATATATATATATCCTGCCTTGTTAATAAATCCTTCTTCTAACCCGGAAGGCTTCTCAAAATACAGAAACCTTTGAGCTGTCTCATTTTCCACTATAAGGTTGCATCTCACTTCAAACCAAGATCTTTCTTAAAACCAGTATAAATCAATTCGATTTTCCCACCACAAATTCATTGTGTTGCAATTTCATAAAAGCCATTCATTTTCTTAAGGAATTACTGCTTTTAAAGTCCAGCGGATTAAAAACCCACAACCAACATTTAAAAAAAATTTTCTAGCGTGCGAATTTAAGATATGTTTTCTGTTTATTTCTACCACCTTATTTATTTCATTGTTCTTATTTTACTATATCTAGAAGTCTAATTCATTAGGACTTTGTATTCACTTTCTTCAGCCAACACATACTGCCTAACAAGCAACCAACCACCAGATGTCTCTCTGTTAATGTTAATGTCATCACACTTAAGAACCCTTAACGCTTTTTGCACTTCTGTTTTGAAAAGAGAAGAGAACAAATTCTCGGCCTTACTCTCTTTTATATGTGTATGCAAGGATCTTAAAGCTGGAGGATCAAAACAGCAGAGGCCAGAAAAACATCATTCATTCATACAACAAATAGTTGTAAAGCACCATCATTTATTCATTAAATAATTACTTATTAGTTGCAAACTATTTGACTAGCATTTTGCTGAGTACAAAACTGTACAAAACAACTACAAGGTTTTCTGCCCTTGTAGGAGCTGAAGATTGAATGGGGAAGAAAGACAATGAACAAACATTATGTACATGGCACATGAAATTTAATATATACAGCAAAAAGACCTCTTTAACCATCAGGGACCCTAGAGAATTAGTTATGATTTACCACAAATGTCAGCGAGGAGGTTCAGAAAGCCCTCATAAATGTGCCCTACATTTCAAAGCTTCCTAGAGTTCAGCCTTCTAAATACCAAGCCAATCCTGGCTTTTTTGCATTTCATAAAATATTGAGTGCCTACTATATGCTAGGATTCTCACAAATACACCTACTCAATCTTTATGACTATCCTTTGAGACAGGTGTTAGGATGAACTTCCTCAGGTTAAATAATTTGCCCACTGGTCACATAGATAGCTTGGGAAACTTCGCAAAGCAACTGACAGTAATCTAATCTTGGAGGATGGGTAAGAATTCATCTTTTGCCAAATAATCTCAGTCCTTAGTGATTTTACTTCTTTGCACTTAAGATGCTCTGTCCCCCAGTTCTGGTAAAATCCTGCTCATCTTTCAAAACCCTTTAAAGGTGACCACTTCTTTCAGGATTCTCTGACTTGCAGATTCGGTGGGCTCTGTCATTGTCCTGCAACAAGGTTAATAGCTCTCAGAATACTCTCAATATATTCTCTTTTTATTATCTATCCAGGGGGTTACCACCCCTCACAAAAGACTCTTAGTTCCTCAAAGTCAAGAATTTTGGGAAGCAGTATAGTGATTAACCCCACTGGTTTTGAAATGAAATTAGTTTGGTTCAAATCCCATCACCACAATTCTTTCTCTTTACCTGACCTTAGACTAGTTAAGTAACCTAAGTCTCAATTTACCATTGGAAAAAAATGAGGATAATCGTATCTATTTGTAGGATTCTTATGAAGACTGAGATTATCCATGAAAAGTGGTTAGCAGAGCACTGGCACATAGAGCTTTTTCATTAAATGTGTGCAGTTATTGCTTATTTATCTTTGTGTCCTAATGCTTAACATGATGAGTGACTTAAGAGTGGGTGCTACAAAAGCTAGCATTGCTTATGTTCATATTTGTATCTAATTTCTATAAGCCATTATAAACCATAGAATACACAGATCTAAAGCCGCACCAATATGCCTCCATGTTATCAAATATTTAAGGGTAAAAGCGAAGGAAGGGACATGAAGGAATTGGATACTCGGAGGTGAACAAAAAAGATGTTTAAAAGAAAGAAGAAAAGCTGAGGAAAAAGGAGGGAAACGGCGGGGTTTTAAGGGAAGAAGTGAGGGCAAAGCAGGCGAAAGCGGGTTGAGACCGCACGGGGAGAGCAGGGTACAGGGAACAGGCGTGCGGTGTGCAGGGCGGCGCACCCAGGCAACAGGTGTACGGTGCGCAGGGCGGGGAGGCCCACCGGGGGGGGAGGCCCACCGGGGGGGGGAGGCCCACCCAGGCCCACCCAGGCCCCGCCCCATCCCGACACCAGTGCCCTCGGCGCCCTCGTCCCCCACCATCAGAGCTCCGCCCCCTCCCCTCAGACCACGCCCCAGGTCCCTCCCCGTCCTGTCCTGCCCCGCCCGCCGGCGACGGCAGCGCACCAGGTGACAGCCCGGAAGCAGCGGAAGCGGCTGAGGGAAACGCGGCCATCGGCCCCGGAGGGCGGCGCGGTGGTCCAGGAGCCTGCGTCCGCTCCGGACGCCCTGCGGGGCCCTCATGCGGCTCCCTCGCTGACATCTGAAATCCGCCGCTCGCGGTCCTCCTGGAGACCGCTGGGTCGCCCCGCCTGCCGCCCTTGGCGGTTGAAATCGTGGTGCGGAACCGCGGCCGCCGCCCATGGAGAAGGCCGGGCGGGGCGGTGCTGGCTCCTCGCGGGGGCCCGTACTGCACATCGTGGTGGTCGGCTTTCATCACAAGAAGGGCTGCCAGGTGAGGAAGGGGCCCGAACCCGCCTCTGGCCGCTCGCGGATTCGCGCGCCGCGGTCCCCCGCCCCGCTTGGCTCCGTCCTCCCTCCAGCGCCCTCGGTCCCCCCGCCTCTGAGCTAGACGCCTCTCTCCGGCTCCTCGCACTCGCCCCACCCGAGGCCCATATCCCCGACTCCCTTCTATCTCCTGCCCTGAAAGTCGTATTTTGAGTAGCAGAGGAGCTAAGCGTTGGCGCGTTGGGTTGGCAGGTGTTTTTAAGTTTTTTGGTGGAGTGGGTCCCACTCTCCTCATCCATTTCTTGTCTCCATTGGCCTTCTGGGTATCCACCTGTAAGGGGAGCGCTTAGAGAAATTCAGTCCTTGGACTGCATTTTGAAGGTAATGAGCTCAGTGGGCTTTCACACAAATGGCTCGGGTTGATTGAAGCACAGACGGAGCCGTGGGAAAGTCAACTTCCTTTGTTTACTCGTGGAAACCCTAGAATCCGTCCGCCGTGTTCGGGTGGTGTATTGACTCCGCCCCCTTCCCATTGGGCCTTGGTTTTGCTATTTGATCGTCCAGATTTTGCCTTTTGGTGAGTAACTGACCTCCCCAGCTCAATTGCAATAAGAGAAAGTGTATTTACCGAGCAAAGAAATATACAAATACAAGTCATTTTTAAGCTTCATCATTGAAATGGTGAACGAGAGCAATGGAGCATTTGCAGTCTATGCATTGAAGGCAAGGAAACAAAATAGAAACAAATGAGCAGCATTGGAAGACAGTGATGTCATAATGTGCTATTGAACAGTAAATTGAAATGCTTAAAGTGCTAAAAATACTACTACCACTAGGAAATAGAGCTCTTGATTTCTTGCAATGTACAGATAATGTAACATTTTAGATCTGGTAGCAAAATTTAAGTTCCTTAGAGGATGATAACAGAAAAGTGGTGGAGTGGAAAGATAGCTGGGTATATATTGTAAAAACTGCTCAACTTTAAAATATATCATATTCATTGCCCCTCAGGTAAAAGCCCTATAGAAACATACCAAGGGGGAAGTGGCATTAAATGTGAAATTAAAACATTTTTTAAAATTTCAAACAACAGTAGTAGAATACAAGTTTTAAAAATGTGGCCCTATATTTAGAGGCAAGATAGGATAGATATTTTAAATTGAACCATGGTATGCAGACACAGTATTAATCATCATTGGATTTTTCATACTTTAAAACTCCACATTTTTTTACTTAGTTGTCATGTTATAACTTATTTTGGATATGGCTGAAAGAACTGAAGCCTGGAGGAAGTAAAATGATCTTACTGAGGTCACACAGCAAAACAAATCCTGGAGTCAGAATTGCTTCTGGCACCATGTGTGTTCATTCTGCTGATCCATGTGGCATTTAGGAATCACTTAGAGTAAAGAAGGAAGTGGAAGCCCACTTCCAAACCAAACTGAGTGGAACTTTTAAAGACAAAAAAGGAACTATTGGTAGGAGATAGAATAAAATCTTTTAGTTTTTGCTTTCATCTAGTGTCAAGATTAATAAGTTTTGTACCTGCTTTATTGGCAAAAGTAATATAATTTGTATTTCCAGAAATAAAAAAATATTTATTTTAGGAAACAAAATGTAATGTTGCTTAGGATAAAGTGAAGGTTCCTGTGGCCAGGATTCTTGCCTGGCCTGGTCGGCTCGCTCACTATTGACTCTTTATAAAGAGCTCCTCCGCCCAGTGCTCTGAATGACACGATGGCATGGGCCCATGGCCACAGGACGTGACATAGACTGAGGACAGAGACTGAGATGGCTGCAGGGGTAGAGAGGCCCAAAGGCAGAGACCAGCTTTCTGCATGCAGACACGCTCTAAGTGGATGGGATTCTAGTGATTGACCTGCCACCGTGGGATTAAAGTTCCATAGTGAGCTTGCCTGGGGCTGAAACCCATTGGCAAGACAGAGTAAAAGAAACTAAACAACATACTGTTCTAAAATGAAAGAGGCACTTTGGGCTGAAGTAGCACCCTGGGTGCCATGGCATTTCTCTATATTTGTCTGGCTTTTGGTTTTAGCAGTGAGGTAGCAGGGACTGGTTTTATAAAAAGAACAGTGTGCTTGGAGTCAGAAGACCCAGATGATGTCCTGGCTTCACAGCTCTTGTGAGCTCCAAGCAAGTCCAAATTGCTGACTTTTTCTGTACCTCATTATTTTCTACCAGATTTCTTCAGAGGAATTTTAGACCTAACAAGAATTCTTAGAGATCATCTACTCCATTTCCCTTAAATTTACAGATGAGTAAACTGAAATCCAGAAAGGTTAAAGGACTTGAGCATACTTAGCTCGTTTGGTGCTACCAGAAAAACCAGAGCTGGATAATAGTTAAAGTTGTAAAAAGTTTTCAGACAAGCTGTTGCAGTAGGGGGAAAGAGACCTCAGTACAGAACTGGGCTCAATTCCAAATACAATGAAGAAAAGCAGGAATTTGTAGCTAAGGAGTGGAATGGGGATCAGTGAGGGGAAAATTACTATCTCAGGAGTGCTGGTGAGGTTCTGGCTAAGCCCACCTAACAGGATTCTTGCTAAAATTAGGCAATGCAGAGACTAACAGGGAAGCCCTAGTTGAGAAGAGAGTTCAGAGAAACCTGACTTAAAGTTTGGTTAAGGAGAAATTATTTGTCAGCTAAAGCTGAAACCCAGATTTCCCTAGTATTTATAACTACATCTCTTAATAGCACTTTTAGGTTGTAAGCTCCTAGTAGAAAGGAAATATATGCCTTGAGTAATTGATTCATTTTTATTTATCTGTTTATCTATTTATTGAGACCCATATGGTGCTTCAGAGACAAGGGCAATTATTTTTTAATGCTTGTTGAGTGTCTGCTCATCTGGGTTGCTGATAGAATGGAGGAGAATGCAGTGGGTTCTGCCACAGTGCAATGAAAGGTGAGAAACCTAGTATGGATTATTTTCTTACTGCTGACCAACAAAAGAAGACAGCTTTTTAAAATGTCTCACCTCTCAAAGCAGAAAATGAAGAGTTAAGAGCTTAGTTTTGCAAATCAAACTAGGATTTGTTACAGGTAGTCATAGTCTAAATAATGCACAGTGAATAAAAAGGTGATTTTTAGATTGATATATTGCATAGTCTATAGCTTTTGCAAGAGTCAAACATTTATTTTAGTAGACCTATTACTCAGAAAAATTTTGGCTTACTAGTAATCCTCTGTTAATTTTCCTTTTGTGGAGGTTGGTTGGATAGATGGCACTATGATTTTTCAACTCTAAAGAGAGGGTTCGGGGAGTGGATAATCTGAAAAACCTTCATTCGGAAACACTCTGTGGTATTAGCCATGTTGTGTGTAGGGCCACAGGAAGTCTGCTCAGACAACAGAGCGAATGAATGAAAAAATATCTTATACTAAGTTGGTTGATGAAATTGACAGGTCAAGTCAGTAAAAAACAATGAAGCTTTTGCTAGAGCCATAATTTGTGTAGTCATAGTAGTTCATCCAAGTGGAACAGGAGATTCAGTGGATATATATAATAGTATTGGAAACAATGGGAAAATAGTTTGTTCACCTACATTTTTTTCAGTTTTGATTGCCCTACAGTTCCCCTTTTTTTTGTCTTAGTTTTTCTAAAATACTGAGAATGATGTTGATTTTGCCAGGTAAAAAGGAGTAATGTAAAAGTGTTTTAAAATTTCCAGTGTATGTCATATTCCTAAAGTATGTTCTTCACCTCTACAAATCAATGCATTTAAATGTAAGCTTTCTTAAAGCCTTCAAAATCAAGTACATTTCATGTTTTGAAAAGTGCGTGTGTTACAGGTGTTAAGTCTTAGAATGTTCTCAAGCCTTCAAAATCAAGAATATTTCATGTTTTGGAAAGTGCATGTGTTACAGGTGTTAAGTCTTAGAATGTTCTAGAGACTGCTGTTCCTTTTCAATCAGTGTATCAGGTGATTCAAAGGCTCTAATTATGTAAGACTTCCCTCGGGATGAATTAACCAGCTACCATAGTCTTTTCCATTTTAGTTCCAGGTGTAAAGGATTAAAAGTGGATGGCTTATTGAATTTTTACTCTGACATCAGATTGTTTTAGTTTGTGTTGTGTGAGGGTGCTTTGTCAAACTGCTCTTCCAAATGTTCACAATGCTGCATGTCACGTTGATCATAAGTTCTTTACGTGCACTGAGATTATTCATAGTGTAGATTCCCATACTTCATTGTAATTTGTAATTTTTAGACTCAAGTGAACAGAAGTAAAACCTTTGTTTAAAAGTAATGCCTTTCAGCAGTCTGCTGGGCTAAGCATAACATTATGTAGAGGAATGTACTAAATCTTTGTGGACTCTTCTGTTATAAAGGTGCTCTATGGTGCTATGGTAAAGGAGTCAGGCGGACAAAGCCATCTTCTAATGCAGCACCGCTGTGTTGAAGGTCCCCAAACTAGGCATGTAGATGTTCATCTTGTTTCCTACATTTTTTCTACTTTTGACGCCTTCAGATGTATTTTAAATGAAAAATGCCTTCATTTAAATTAAAACGGACATCTGATGGCGGAGTAACTGATGAAGCAGATGTCAAGTTTGTAACTTAGTGAGATGCTGCGGCAGCTATGTCAAAAGACAAAGCAAATCTGCAGCACAGATATGTGTGACTCTTCTTGAATCCCTTGGCAGGAGCAAGCAGTGGTACTTGTGAACACAGATATGTGAAATTCTTCTTGAATCCCACAGCAGGAACAAACAGTGGTGCTTATGGTAACCAAAAGATGAGAGGCATGGGCTTGTCAAACCATTGAGTTATGGCAGCCCAGCCAGCCAGCCAGCTTCTGAGTCATGTTTATGGAGGCAGCTATGGTGGCCAGAACAGCATGAGTGGATATGACCAAATATTACAGGAAAAGGCCAGTACTTTTCAATCAACATTGCATAGGCAGCCAAGGAGCAATGAACAGAAGCTTCTACAATAGTGGAAGCCATGCATCTGTGGGAGGGAACAGAATGAGAGGGATGGCT